CTGACCATCCAAACCGAGCACTAAGGTGCACTTTTCATTATTTTACCTCGGTACCAGCTTTATCTTGATAGTACACTCTGGATTTTTACAATAATAAAATATATTATTAATTTAGTATATGTTTAGACTTCACTCAATATATTTCGTAAGAGAACGCTCGAACAGGATGTTTGGGAGCATTCCGAACGCTTTAAGATTTTTGACGACTCTCGATCTTTCCATTTATGCATAATTCATCACATTTTGAAATGTTGAATACGCTCCCAATTTCAGTATTTATTCATTCAGAGTCCATTTGCATGGTCCCTAGCAGATGAACGTATTCAAAACTTATGCAGAAACTTCAGAGTCAAAATGAATTTATGAAGTGTCATCAGCGGACATGATCACAACATGTTTTGAGAAATAAACGACACAGAAGAAACAATAATTATCTGGGTCATTTGAGGGGTTCAGGCAGGACCAGAAGAGAAAGGAAGTAGATTAGTGCAGGCGTCATAGATGGTATACTCCAGCTTTAACCATACTTTGGAGTTACTCCAATAATGTCATTCTCAATACCACATTCATTATTGCCACGGAGGATCTTGAAGTAGCCCTTGTCTCCCCAGTCTGTATTCCAGGAATTGGCTGCCAGCCAATAGGGCGTGTCATTTTCAACACCCCACCCAAGAAGACGGATGGCGTGACCGCCGGTTATGTACTTGTAGACACCTGATTTGTAGTTAAGGAAGTCGGCATAGACTGCAAAATCTGCCTCTACTGGTCCATTCGTCATAATTTCCTTCCTTATTTTTTCCTCACCAAAACGTACAGCATAGGTATCTAGCCCTAGAACAAAACGTAGCATAAAAATGATAGAACACTTAAGAACAGGTAACTCGGAACTGACCAAATTAAAGCAGGAAGGATTCCGAAATGCCTCTGGTACTATGCCTGTCCCCTTTTACCTTATCCATCTCACTTCAAACATGCGTGTGGTACGGCAATAAAACAACAAAGGTTATCAACGCAGCTATCAATTTTACTATGAATGCTATTGCTGCTGCTACCCTGGACACGACGAAAGACGGGTTGCTATTTACCTCTTGCATCTTTTCAAGGTTATTATAAGATTGGTTCTACATTGGCCTTGTAATCGGGAATTGTATCCATGCAGAAAATGCATGCAAGTTCATACGAACTTGAATAGGATGTCCTTTCCAAGGTCCGTGTATTTTTGACCACTGGAAGAATTTTAACCATGATTTGCAGTTGACTGCTCGACTAGAAGCTTGTAGGTGGAAATTTTAGTAGAGCAAAAGCTGAGCAACTAAAGTACAACCTTATATTACTTTCTACTTACGTATGTCAACAAAAACTGCCTGCTGTCCTACTTTCGACACCTCAACAGGAGAGGGTCTATTAATAAGTAAATAAAAGCAGAAGCTCACCATAGTGCTTGTCCTTTGCGTACGGTGTCGGATAGCCCTCCTGGCACTTCTTAGTGCAAGCGGGCGTCTCAGCATCACCGGTGCAGGGAGGTAGATCACCCTCAGTATGGTGTTCACAGGGTGGAATTTCGTAGGGTCGGCAGGTGGTGTTGTCGCCATAGGGACCACGAGTAACGATGCCCTCCTGCACCCAGTACAGCCAGGCTGCGGCGGGCCAGCCACCATCGCGGCCACTACCACAGTCCTGACAACAGGAGACAAGGTCGTCGGCACTAATTCTGACCATCTCCTTGCCTTTGGAATGAATACAGATGCGGTCTGAAATGGCCTCCACGGCACCGAATGCCTGAGAAAGTGAAAACCAAATTGTAAACCGTTGGTGGATTCCGTACGTGCAGTAGGCTGGGCGGTTAATCCACCCAAATGTGATTAAATTCACGACTCTTGGCGTGCCTTCGTAGCCCATTAGTAGAGCTTTGACTGTACTAAGGCCTTCCCTACTGATTTGGGTTCGATGGCCACCGAATGCCACGAATTTCTATCAGTCGGGTCAATTGAAATAGTGCATTCAAAATGGTCGATTAGAGAAAGGTAGAGTCACAATAAAATGAGCCCATTTTCTTCGCACACTATTGGTGCCATGATAATAGACGGTACCTAGTGGAAACCTGCACCAAATGGGACCAGGTCAGAAGAAAACGGTAGCTGGTATAGCGGGGCTGTTATATCCAAACACAAGTTAAATATTTATGGGATTAAAAATCAGAGGACGTGCTTTGTAAGCAGTCGAGCTATAGAAATTTCGTTAATAGGATAACATTCTATGGTCTGGTGGATGCAATTGAGCCCTCTAAAGCCATGCAGCAATACCGCTAGTTGATGGAAGGGGGCGGCATGCTTGTGACGATTAAGCCCGGTTCTTAGGACGCATACGGTGTCTTTGGTTGAACTGCATTGCACAACGGGACGGGCATGTCCCGTAACAAGATAGATGAGCGCTCCCCCTTTGTTGTCAAAATTTCCAATCACAACCAACGTAGTGGCAAACAATCAGCTGGCTTTATAAAATCGTTACGCAAGAATGCCTATGGACAACCAACCTCCAACAGCCCAACATGTCTATTGTCTGAACGAAGGAACTGACATCCCTCTGGTAAGACAATTCATAAATTCTATCTTCTACAAGGTTATGGAAACCGTAAAGCACCTGATGTGCTAAATTTTTACGCTTAAACAAGTGTATATCGTTGGCTTAAGGGTTTGTCTTTTTATTAAAAGTTTGGAATTTCAGTTCAGTGTTAAAAATGAACCATTTATGCTTGCTTTTCACCATTTCTTGCAACTTATATAGTACCGGTACAATTCAGTAACTGAAGAGTTTCTCTTATTGGTAGGGCTTTCTTGTGAGGCCGCCTGAACCTAACTGGCTGAATTGTGAGTTTGAATTTCCGCCTGTCCAACCAATAGGAGTTGTCTACTATTATTGGTCAATAAGCACCCTTCACTGAACCAATATGTGTTTGTGCTCATCAATTTTGATTCTCTCCTGGTATATTTTTTACATATATTTAGCTCAGTAAAACAATTACAATTGGCTTCAATTCATTTTCCACTGTTCTATTCAACGCGAGTAAACACGCACTAACACTCTTCAATCAAACACTAAACCTTTAACCATGAATTCTGTAAGATACTTGGGGGGATTTATTATCAGGCGGCCTAACAAGTGTTAGGAGGGCCCAACCATCGCACGTCCTCGAGGCAGGATAACAAGGAGAGAACACGCGAGACCGCCAATGGCCACGTTCTGAGGTCACGCATGTGCATGGGCCAAGAAAAGACGTATGCACGCGCGCGCGCCTCACAGAGGGCGCGACC